GAGCGTCTGGACTCTGAATTATAAGATCCATTCTGGAAGGACTTCTTGTGGCCATTCCCAGGTTGTCTTCTGTGCTGGCCCTGGCTCATGCTGTTCAGGCACGTATGCATGGAGGGTTTATTTCTGGCCTGGCTGAATATCAGAAGTGTCAGTAGTCTGCATTGCTCTGTTACCTGGGCTGGGCTTTTCCAGGGTTTTCCTGACACACAGCCCAGGACGTTAGGATTTTTTTTAGGTTCTAAAGAGCCTTTTGATGAGGATGTTGATGACAGTCTGGGGATAGGAGAGGTTTAATTCTCGCAGTGGATACTGTTTGTGTCAGGGCTCTGACACAGCCTTTCCCCAGGGATTGTTTCTGGAAGTCTGTACTTCCTTTAGGAAAGGTCATTATGGCTCCAGTTGCCCAACATAATGTCTCTGGCCTCTCTAGGCCTACTACCTAGTAGATTTATCATTCCCTCTGTGACAAGCCATGCGTATATGGGAAAGGCTTTACTTGGACGTATTTCAGAAGTCCACACTGGGCCCCCATGAGCCTAACTCATCATTCAGAGCTTACATCAGGCTGGCATGAGGGTCTCCTAGTTTTCAGCCGTTTGTAGGATTATAGTTTAATGGTACTGTGGCTGCAAAGACACCCAGCCAGTGGGCCTGGGTGTCCTTCGCGCTTTGCAGATAGTGCTAATGTGACTGTGCAGTTTCCAGGACCAAGTCTGAGACTGGACGTGGGGTTGTCGTATCGTGGCCTCCCTGCTGGGGAGCTCGTTCCCACCTGTGTATGCAGTGAGTGAGGCCAGCTCGCTCTCCTCCCGGCCCCGCACGCTCTTCGCAGTGATCTCATACTCGGTAGCGGGCTGCAGGCGGTGGAGAGCATATTCAGTAGCATCTCTGGGGATCGCGGTGGTGTCCGTCCTCCCTGCAGGGGCAGAGCAGAGAGATTTGGCATCGTGGCACGACTTGTCCTGTCCCTCCCTGGGGCTGCAGGGGATGCTTGTGAGGGGAGGACAAGGCCAGGGGTCTCTTGGGGGCTGGTGCCGGGTGACCTAAGTGAGTTTTGCACCTGCAGGCACACCCCTGCGTGGGGATGCTGGGGGGCTTCCTCTGGCTGGGGGACCTGGTGGCTTGTTTCCAAATGGGGCCAGAGGCAGCCCAGGAAGGGTCCGTGGCAGTGTAGCTCAGAACACAAGCAAGAGCTGGCCGCACTGTTACCTTCGGCAGCCCTGTAGGATATTCTGTAGTGGTCAAAAGCAGCGATGGGAGGGGTCCAGTAGATGACCATGGAGTCCTGGGTCACGTTGCCTGCCCTGAGGTCCTTTGGAGCATCGATCCCTGGGCAAGACGGAGCAGAAAGAAAAGGTGTCAAAGGTAGGCACGCTCCCATCAGGCTGCCTTTCCTGGTGCAGATAACCGGCCTTGGCTTGGAGCTTGGGCAGCCAACACCACGCGAGGGAGTGAAGAGCCAGGGCCTGCCCATTCCACCTTCAGCGGCCAGGCTAGACTGCAGGACTGGCACAGCCACGTGTGCGCTTGCTCCAAAATCAGCACCAAATGGGGAAAGCTGTGCTCTAATCGCTGGCCTACACTACGGTTTGGAAGAGCAAAGCAGGCCTGTCAGCCTTTTTGGGGCTGAGATAGCTTGAACTGCCTGCCGGATGAGTTTGGTGCTGATGAGGGTCCCTGGCTGTTGATGCAGCTGCCCCCTGCTTCCCCTCCTGGCTCAGGTCCCAGCCCGGACGCCAGCCCTGCTGCGTGTGGTTGCGGCTGCTGTAGTTGAGCAAGGCAGAGGATGCTGGTTTTAAGGGGATTTTGGAGCACAAGCTAAAAAGCAAATATGTTTTTTGGCTGAGGTGGGGATTGTGGGATTATGGGAGGATAAAATGCTTAATCCGCTGGCATTGTTTTAGATTTTGTTGCCGTGTCAAAGAAGAGCCTAAGACAAAAGTGAGATGAAATGGTATATGGGCTCATTATCTAGGGAAGCCTGAGGCAGGAGATGTGGTCATGCAGCTTGTAAAATAGGATTCCAACCTACAATAAATCCCACAAAGTGATTCCTAAGTCTGACTGCTTCTTCTGCATGAAAACAAATTGCCTTGGCAACTCCAACTTTGGCCTCCGACTTCAAACCAAGCATCTCCCTCAAGGCCCTCTTTGAAGCCAGCCGGGGACCCCTCAGCCCTGCGTGGGGGTGGCTGATGTTACCTGTAGTTATAGAGCCCGTGATGGGCTCTGAGCTGACCGTGCCGTGCACAGCCACCAGTGACACCTGGTACTCAGTGGCTGGCTGCAGCCCCATCAGGCTGGCGTGTCTCCTGGTGCCATCTAGCATGAGCTGCTGTGCCTTCTCTTTGCCCCGTGGGTTGTAGTACAAGATGAGCTGATCAGCTGGTGGTGACGGATCGCTCCAGGTGATGTTCACGCTGGAGGACGTCAGGTGGGAAAAGTGCAGCTGCGTGATGGGCCGGACCCCTGCAAGCCAGAGAGGGAGAGATGCAAACCTGCTACTGTGAGGTGGCCATGACTGGGATTTTCCAGGGAATACGTGCCTATCCAAGGATCATATTGATCATGGGGTCAGACCTTGGTGGTGTCAGAGCACGACTATCTGCAGCATGATCACCTGCAGGTCCTGGCCTCCGGGTCATACTGAGTACTCAGACTACAGTACCCTGGCTCTGGTCCAGGAAATAGCCAATAGATGTAGAAAAACAGCAGTTCTGGGCTCTCCATTTATCTGAAACTGTGCTGAGATCAAGAGGCATAACTGGGAGGGAAAAAGCGGTGCTTTTCTCAGCTCTATTGACAAACAAGCTCCCTCCCTAGCCCTATATGATTAATGATGGTGCTTGTCTGTCTGGGCTTGTCAAGCAGAGAGGCTTGTGAGGCCCCTCAAAGCTTAGTTTCTCCTTGCAAACAGGCAAACAGGACACCTGGACCGCAGAGAACAGTGCGGGCTGGTGATCCCCTCCTCCCCTTCCTCTTCCTTATGGGAGCTACTAACAAAGCAGGTGTGTTGAATGCTGATGGCAAGGGCTATGGGAGCCTGCCAGGCTCCTAGGCTTTCCCACTTCTCAGACCCATGGGCCTGCTCTTGCGTGGATGAATTGCCACCTTAGCACCACTCTCATCCCCTTCACCGTCTCAAGAGTTCCTGTGCTAGGGGTGTGGCCGCATGGCAGAGGTGCCTGCGTGGTAGACCATGCTGTGTTTGGACCCGGCTCAGTTTGTCTTTCTGTACCTGTGAATGCATCCACAGTGGACTCCAGGCTCTGCTGGCGTCCCCGCTCAGCAATGATTGAGATGGTGTACTCTGTCCCAGGCTCCAGGTCCGAAAGGGTGAGCTGTGACCTGTCCTGGGGCACCGTCACTTCGGAAGCCATCCCTGAGGCCGGGGTGAAGGTGACGCGGTAGTGGTCGATGGGCCCCTTGGCCTTGGTCCAGGCCAGGGAGATGGATGTCTCTGTGGAGGCTGTCACCAGGAGGTCCCGGGGGCTGTCGAGCTCTGTGAGGGAGGCACATAGGGGTTGGGTCGCAGGGTCTGGGGAGGCTGTGGAGGGATTTGGGTGGTGCAGACACACAGACCCAAGCGCAAGCCGATCTGAGTGGGTGTCAGATGCCCTGTGGGGAGAGTGATGAGGACAGCCAGTGCCTTGCTGCGAGGGAGTGATGCTCTGAGTGCAAAATGTGGCATGCTTGGGGTGAGGAAGAAGCATTTGCTCTGCCCGATATTGGCCCACGATTTGCCATAATGGGGAAAACTCACCGGTCCTGGCGTTCATGGTAGCTGGCACACTCTGCTGGCTGTCCATGACGGCCGATATCCCAATGCCGTACTCAGTTCCTGGCACCAGATCTGCCAGGAGGTGCAAGGGAGACAGAGAGAGGGCAGTGAGAGCAGTGCCTGGCTGTGCCATTGCTTGGCCATGAGCACCCTGGCCTCCCTGCTCCCCCTTTGTTAGCAAGCATGTTGCCATAGCTCCGTCTAATCATCTCTGAACAGTGGAAGAGATGCTCTGAAGAGCATCAGGCAGCGCTTTCAGAGATGGCTTGAATGCAACAGTTTCAGTGCCTGAGGGACCTAAGTGCTGGCTGCCAGACACTGTCCCTGCCACTGAGATGGGAAAGGGCTTTGGAGAAGGCTTTGGTGCTATGCGTGGTTGGTTGATCCTAGAAAAACATAGGAACTGCCATGAGCAGAAAGCACTCGAGTAGGAGCACACTTGCAAACACCTCTGTCACCTTGGCCGTGGGGCCATAACACTTTGGCATGCCTCTGCTCCGATTGCCACTGTCGCACCTTTGAGGTTGAGTTTGCAGGTGCACATTGCAGCAATTGCCGAGACCCTGCTAAGGTAGCAAAATTGCCAGTAGAAGAAGTAAGCTGTGTTCCCAGTGGTTGGCAAGCCTCCTTGCGAGTTGTGTCTTGGTTTGAGCAAGAAGAGAAGGCCCTTTTTCAAAAGCTCCGTGTATGCCTTTGGCCAGGGAAATTGGATTATTCTAACTCGGAAAAAAGCACAATTTTTTTAAAGTTGTTGCTGAGATCTGCCGTAATTGCCTGCACTGAGACAGAAATTGTGTGTGTGAATGAGAGCGAGCTGAGATAGGAATGACGGAGTAACTATATTTGTTTCCAAAGTGATTCAACATCACATATGGTCACAGGGTTGGTTTCTTGAAAAAAAATAAATTATGCGGAGTAAATGAAAGGCACATTAATAAAGGCACAGTCTTCCTGGGAGCTGAATGAAACATGTTCTTTGTGGTTGACATATTCTGCAATGCCTGTCTCAAGGGAGATGGAAATCTAGCTAATCTAGCTAATTTCCTGAGCACCTATTGCTGATCATTATTTTATCTTAGCGGAGCATCTCCTGGGTTTGTCTGTCACTTCTGTTTGGCTCCTGATGGCTTTATTTTCTCTCCTGCCTGCGCATTATTGATCTCTCCCATCGGGTTAGAAAAAGCTATAAAAACCCACGGGCAAAGCAAAGCTCGTCTCCACCGAGGCCGCCCTGCCGTACTGCAACGCAGCCCAGCGCGGCAGCCTCACCCTGCGACGGTCTCTTCCTCCCGCCCTGCACAGCGCCCAAAAATCACACGCGCCTCTTTGCCTGAGACTTTCTCTAGTTGCCTTGTGCTGGCAGGCTAACAGATTTTTTTTATTCCTGGTGCAGGAGAAGGGGAGGATGGTGGTCGGGCATGGGATCGCCTGCAGAAAGCCCTACCCCCAGCAGATCTGTCTCCAGCTCTGCCTTGACCCTCGAGAGGCACCATCTCCCTGTAAACCCAGCAGGGAATTTAAGGCTAGCTAAGAGCCAGGCTTGTATCTATGCAAGCAAACGAGTAGCGGAGGCTGCCAGCTTCCCACCAAAGGCCTCGGCAAAACAAGCACTAGAAATAAATCCCCCTCTGGGGCAGAGCATCCTCGCAAATGGAGTTAGAGGCACCGAGTTTCGCGCGCCTCTGGAGCACGCCTGGGAGATGAGCGCGCGCTGGCTCCCGACACCTCGGCGGCGTCGACACGCGCCTTCCCCGGGAGGGGTGACGAGGGCGAAGGAAGCCTTGGTCTCCTGCTCCTTCCCTCTGGCTGAGGGCCGGGAGGAGGGCTTGGAGCAGGGACTCGGGTCCTGGGCACCTCGGCGGGTGCTTTTCTTTCCGTAGCTTTGAAACAGGCGGGTGCTTTCATGCACTTAGAAATACTGAGTTTTGTCCTTTGCGCCTACCCTCTAAGTAGTCAGAGTCTCCTGGAAAGGAGGAAAAGAGTCCGAGAGAAAGGATTGCTGCACCTGCTGCCGTCTCCCCTCCCCGGTACCCTTCTTGGGCCTCCCTTGGTCCCAGGCCCGGGGTGCAATGGGTTTTGGGTGCCCTCAGGGCACCAGGCTCAGAGGAGGAGTCGCACCGCCGCTGCTCTCCACCTCCGTGCCCGCCGGCGGAGCTGCGGACCAGCCGCTGGTGCCAGCGGCGGGAAAAGGGAGGCCTTCGCGTCAAATTTAAGTGATTGCTCTTTTAGCAGGGTGGTATTTCTCTGCTGTAATTAGAATTTTTTTGGTTTTGTTTTTTATTCGTTTATTATGCAGCACCCTGCGAGCGAGAAGCAATGCGCTTGGATGATGATGATGATGATGCTGGAAAACAAGCACTATATAAAAATCAGTCACGGCTACTGGCTTAAGCCTCCCTGTCTCTGGGGCTGAGGCATGTAATGGAAGAGCAACTAAATACCGAGGGGAATAGAGTCATTACAGAGAGCACTAAAGGACCGAGCTATCTACGAACATGTTGTTAACATGGTCCGGGGGGATTTTTCTTAACGCTGTCTGAGATTGGCAGCGGCAGGGAAGCGGCTGGAGCACGGCAGGTACTTCCAGCCCGCCGCAGCAAACATTGCACCTCTGCCATGGGGAGGGGGATTTGGCCCATTTGTAACACTTTTTCTCCTCTAGAGAGGCAGTAGATGGCCTGGAGGCACGCAGTC